CTATTTCCCATGAAGTGATGTGACCAGATGCCACATCTGTAGTTAGCTTTAAATAAAGGAGATTAAGCCTAGTAATTTGAATGGACCTTATCCAATCAGTTGAAAGGTCTTGAGAACAAAAACATAGGAGAAATTCTGTCTATGGACTGCAACATTAGATTCTATCAGAGATTTTCCACTATCCTGTCTCTCCCTCTGGATTTCAGGCTTCCTAGTGCCCACAGTCATACCACACATCAATACCTTGGTTATGTATCTATCTGTAATCTAGTTATATCTATCTAAAATATTTCCTGCTTACTGGTTCTGTTTCTCTGGAGAATCCTGACTGATATGATTGTTAATGATACTTTTAGCCTTTAATGCTTAATTGCTCAGTCATGTCTGACTCTTTCCGACCCTATGGATGGTAGCCCTCCAGGCTCCTCTGTCCATGGGGATTCTCCAGGCAGAAATACTGGAGTGGGCTGCCATGCCCTCCTCCAGGGAAGCTTCCCGGCCCAAGAATCGAACCAGGATCTCCCACACTGCAGGTGGATTCTTTGCCATCTGAGCTACCAGGGAAGCCCTTTTGCCTTTAAGTCTTTGCTAAATATTCACATAACTATGCTAGTTATTTTCATTAGTTTTCTATGACTGTGTGGATTACAAAAAGCTGTGGAAAAGAGATGGGAATACCAGACCACCATACCTGTCTCCTGAGAAACCTGTATGCAGGTCAAGAAGTAACAGTTAGAACCTTACATGGAAAAACTGCCTGGTTCAAAATTGGGAAAGGAGTACATAAAAGCTCTAGATTATTCCCCTACTTATTTGGCTTATATGCAGAGTGAAATGTGAAATGTCAGGTTGGATGGCTCACAAGCTGAAATTAAGATTCATGGGAGAAATATCAACAATCTTAGATATGCAAAAAATACCACTCTAATAGCAGAAAGTGAAGAGGAACTAAAGAGCCTCCTGATGAGGATGGAAGAAGAGAATGAAAAAGCTGGCCTAAAACTCAACATTCAAAAAACTAAGATCATGGTGTCTGGTCCCATCACTCCATGGCAAATAGATGGGGAAACAATGGAAACAGTGACAGACCTTATTTTCTTGGGCTCCAAAATCACTGTGGATGGTGACTGCAGCCATGAAATTAAAAGACAGTTACTCTTTGGAAGGAAAGCTATGACAAACTTAGCATATTCAAAAGCAGAGACATCGTTTTGCCAACAAAAGCCCATATAATCAAAGCTATGGTTTTTCCAGTAGTCATACACGGATATAAGAGTTGGGCCATAAAGAAGGCTAGAGCCAAAGAATTGAAAAAGAGTCAACTTCTGGTGCTGGAGAAGACTTTTGAGAGTCCCCTGGACTGCAAGGAGATCCAACCAGTCAATCCTAAAAGAAATCGACCCTGAATAATCATTGGAAGAACTGATGCTGAAGCTTAAGCTCCAATACTTTGGCGACTTTGTGAAAAGCTGACTCATTGGAGAAGACCCTAATGCTGGGAAAGATTGAACATGAAAGGAGAAGGGGGCAGCAGAGGATGAGATGGTTAGATAGCATCATTGACTCAGTGCACATGAATTTGAGCAAACTCCAGGAGATAGTGAAGGACAGGAAAGTCTCGCATGCTGTAGTCCATGCAGACCGCAAAGAGTCAGACACAGCATAGTGACTGACCAACAGCAAATGACATATATTTTTATCATTTTATTTTTCAACCTTTCTGCAGCCTTATATTTTTGATTTTAAATAAATACAAGTGTGATTTTTTAAAAGTCTTGCCTGATAATCTTTGTAGTTTTAAATTGCAATGCTTAGTCAATTTACACATATTTATTGATATATATGATTACAGACTTACCATGGAACTATTTGTATTCTTTGTGATAGTTGTGTTGGCATCCTTTTTTCCCCTTTTTATGTCTTATCTTATATTGATTAAGATTTAATCAATTTTTTTTATTAACCAGTTTTTTCCATCTATTGACTTATTCCTCATGATTGTAATAGCATTTATCTACTGCTTACCCTAATGATTAGTACCCTAATCAGTAACTTTTCAAAACCCTTATTTATAAACAGTTGTCATTTATTGTTCCAGAAAAATGCAAGAATTTAGTAATATTTATATCCATTCTCATATTCATGCTATCATTGTGATATATTCTATCATGTATCTATATAAATAAATAAATAAAAATTTGCTGGTGTTTTTGGCCTTTATATGAATATGATAGGTGAACTTCCCTGGTAGTTCAGTCATTAAAGAGTCTGCCTGCAGTGCAGGAGACCTAGGTTTAATCCCAGTGTTGGGAAGATCCCTTGGAGAAGGAAATGGCAACCCACTTGAGCATTCTTGCTTAGGAAATCCTTTGGCTAGAGGAGTCTGGTGGTCTACAGTCCATGGGGCCGCAAGACTGGGACACAGCTTAGCCACTAAACCACCACCATGAATATGATAGGCTAGCATCATATTTTTTTGTTTGTAATTGTTTTCCCTTGGATCTGATTTCGGCAGTCTTAGTCTCATGAACCGTTCATTTTTATTTTTATTTTCTATTGAAGTATAGTTGGCTTACAATGTTGTGTTAATTTGTGTTGAACAGCAGCATTCTTCTTTAAAAAATATTGTTTCCTGTTATGGTTTACCAAAGGAAATTGACTGTAGTTTCTTGTGCTATACAGTAGAACATTGTTGCTTAGCCATTATCTCTGCAAAAGCTTACATGTGCTAACCCTAATCTCCACTCCATTCCTCCCCCAACCACCTCCTCCCTCTACCTTGGCAATCAAAAGTCGGTTCTCTATGTCTGTGAGTCTGTTTCGGTCTCATAGATAGGTTCATTTGTGTCATATTTTAGATCACACATATAAGTGATATCATATGATATTTGTCTTTCTCTTTCTAAATTCACTTCGCGTGATAACCTCGAGATGCATGCATGTTGCTGCAAGTGGCATTATTTTGCTCTTTATTTTGGCTGAGTAGTATTCCATTGTACCATGTCTTCTTTATCTATTCGTCTGTCAATGAACATTTAGGTTGTTGTTTCCATGTCTTGGCTATTGTGCATAGCACTGCCATGAACATAAGGGTACATGTATCTTTTTGAATTAGAGTTTTGTCTGGAAATATGCCCAGAAGTGGGATTGCTGGATTATATGACAACTCTATTTTTAGTTTACTGAGGAACCTGCATACTGTTTTGCACATTAACTGTCCCAATTTACATTCCTACCAGCAGTGTAGGAGGACGAATTTTAAAGAAGCGTAGCCATTTGTGTTCTCTTGGCTGTGTAATTTTAGTTTCAATTTCCTTTACCTTTACAGTAAAGGAAACCTATTCTCGCAAAACTACATCTTTATCAAAAGTCATCATGTAATTAGGAAGAACAGTGTTTATCAAAAGCCATCACGTGATTAGGAAGAATACAGTGAGAACCATTCTAGAATGAAGTCATTCCAGTGCAAAGTATTGTTAAAATCTATTGTAAGTACTGAAACCTGGATGACAACATTGCATTGTCTGTTAATGTACTGAACACTCACTTATTTTTTCTCCTTTTGACCATCATAATGAACAGGATGGCTTCTTCTCTTGCTTCAGCTTTGTGTATAAGATCAAATGACCACAGACCTCCAGACACCCTGAAAACCTTTACTAAATGCAACCTTAATTTGCATTTTGAAAGAACTATTTTCAAGATAGATTTTTATAATTTATTTCAACTTTAAGCATATTCTAAACTCTCCAAATGTGGACTATTGCCTTACTAGTCCCTTAGAGATCATATACAGTAGAGATGCAAGAAAATTTTCCACAGTTGGGGAGGAAGAGGGTGGAAAAAATTGAGAAAGTAGCATTGAAATTTTAACATATACACTACCGGGCTAAAATAAATAGCTAGTGGGAAGCAGATGTATAGCACAGGGAGCTCAAGCCAGTGTTCCATGATGATCTAGAGGGATGAGGTGGAGGTGGGTTGGGAAGGAGGCTCAAGATGGAGGAAATATATGTATACACGTAGCTGATTCACATTGTTGTATGGCAGAAACCAACACAACATTGTAAAGCAACTATCCTCCAATTAAAAACTTTTAAAATTCACTCATTAGGAATAGAAAGAACAGATTGAGAACACTTATGGAATCTGGGTAAGAAAAATGGGACTAGAGGGGTGAAAAGATGCTATGCTTCTAAATTCATGTGCTTACATTTTTATTTATTTATTTATTTACTTTCCTATTTCAGAGGCACTAATTCTGGCTACCAAAAAATTTTTTTCATGGCTGCTGAAACAAGACACTAATATGTTCAAAGAACCCTGAGAGTTTAAAAGAAAACCAGTGACTACAATAATTAAAAGTTGGTTTAAACCATTCAGTCAGTCAGTCAGTCAGTTCAGTCGCTCAGTTAGGTCTGACTCCGCGACCCCATGGGTTGCATCACGCCAGGCCTCCCGGTCCCATCACCAACTCCCAGAGTTTACTCAAGCCCATGTCCGTTGAGTCAGTGATGCCATCCAGTCATCTCATCCTCTGTTGTCCCCTTCTCCTCCTGCCCCCAATCCCTCCCAGCAAACCATTAGGCTTGGTTAAATTCATTATTTTAATTCAAAGTTTTAATAGTTCCCATAAAATAAAAATGTTCTTTCTGACCACCTATTTTCATGTTTTTTGCTATTTCAGTCAGACCTTTTCCAGCTTCCCTTAGGCAGTAAGGAAATCATGTTCCCAGAAATGTTCGATATGGAATATGCACTTTCAGTTTCTTCATGTGATGAACAGTCATGCTTTTGTAGTTTTATTTTTCATCAAACTATAAATACAAAAAGTGGAAAATGAAACTATTCCAAAAGTGAAAGTCATTTCTTACTGCCTACGTGGTGAGTTGTAGTTGTTGGCTATAACAACCTCTGTAATAAATAGATGCTCTGAAAGCATCTAGCCTGGAGAAGAACCAGAGTAGGCTGTAAGAACAGCAGTTGACAAGTCATCTCCTATGGAGTACTCTCGGACCATCTTTGAGGAATATCACATAGATGAAGATGTGGGCTTTGCTCTGCCACTTCCACTGGTAAGAGGGGACACTGGAATATGGGCAAAATTATTTTCTTATCTTGACCTACCTGGGCAAGTCAACTTCTACTGAATAAATGTGGTTCAGTAATTTCTACTGAACAAATAGATATAGAGGTACCGAAATTGGAGGCAGAGTTTGAATAAAGGGATCTCGATTAATTTTCTTAAAATTTTCTTCTTAGAAACTTAGCCTTAGAGGCACTTCTTACTCATCTTACACAGGTACAGGGAGTGATGAGATAAGGTAACTATAGAGGTATTTTATTTTAAGACAATCACATTTCAGGGGGTATTTTGAAAAATTTTTTTAAAAAGTAATTAATGACCCATGAGTCAAAGGAACCTCCTTTTTCAGCTGATAAACCTTAGATTGCGCGAAGCATGTGTTCCTGCTTTGATAATGTTTTTGAGCTTTGGGCATCATGTGTTCCTGCTTTGATAATGTTTTTGAGCTTGATGCTTTGGGCATCAAGCAACTTCATGTTGTATTAATAATGTTTGGTATTTACTAAGCCTAAGTTTCAGGCTTAGAGAGAGTTAGACCTGCTAGACCTGCATGCTTTTTCCACAGATCTTGCTACAAGGGGCAAGGCATTAGAATAAATGTGTGTCTTAAGACTATGGTTTCCTACGTTATCTTCCCAAGAATGCCATGAAAAGCATCTTCTCTTTAATATCTTAATCATCACACACTTTTATCTCATTGTTAGCAATTTACAAATATTAACTTACTCCATCTTTACAACCATCCTGAAAGGTATGTATGGTATTAATTTCATTTTCCTGATGAGAAAGTAAGCTATGCAGAAGTTAAGTAATTATCCAAACTCACCCAGCTAGTAATAACAGGAATAGGAAGTGAGTCTAATCAGTCTGGATCCAGAATCCATGGTCTGAAAACCATTATCTATTATGCTACACTGCCTAACTCAAGAGAAGGAGAGAACATAGGGCATTATTTTGGTTTTTGGTTATTGTTTGTATTCCTACTCTTGGTTTTAATGAAGTTCGTGAGATTCCAGGAGAGGATTTCTAGGAGCCAGTAACATGCTCTGGCAATGCTGTATATACCAGGATGTATCTGTTTGCTTGTGACTGGAGCAGAATCCAGACTCTAGAGACAACCTTTAAGTGTGATAAATACATATTTTTGTCAGAATCTAACTATACTTAGAAATTACATATAGTAAATACCTTGGTTAATATAGGCAAATCTAAAGCAAATTCTTTGTCCCAATCTAATTTTCCTTTTCACATGATTAAGTTAATTGAAGAAAATGAAGCAGATGTTTTAATTTTATTGCTAAAAGCAACTGGCGTACTTTATATTTTCAAATCAATAATATTCAGACTTACTCTCTCTTCACTAAAGTGCACAGGTGCCAAGATTGGATGTTTTGAGGAAATATTTATCAATGGTACCAAAAAAAAAAACTTTTTCAGAAACTGCAAAGTCTCATATCAAATTTATTCTTTATTTCCCTATAAAGTTGGTTCTCATATAAAAGAAAATAATCACAATAATTATGTAAATAAGTAAGTGAAAATCGTTCAGTTGTGTCTGACTCTTTTCTACTCCATGGACTGTAGCCCACCATACTCCTCTGTCCATGGAATTCTCCAGGCAAGAACACTGGAGTGGGTTGCCATGCCCTTCTCCAGGGAATCTTCCCTACCCAGGGATTGAACCTGGGTCTCCTACATTGCAGGCAGATTCTTTACCGCTTAACCACCAAGGAAGCCACAAGTAATTATGAAGACCTCTAAGACAGATTCCAAGGGGTAAACTCCAAAACTAAAGCAAAATAAAACTCTTCCTGAGCTATTTAAAAAACAATGCTGCTACTTGAGATACCTATGAAATTAGATTTAGTATCCTGAAACAGGATGAAAACAAAATTAGAGGTTACTTTTATTTCGTCACTGAAGATCTTTCCTGGAAATTAGAGGTTCAAAAATGTCCATTTCGTCTCTTATAATCTATCACCTTCCAATTGTAAAGCAAAATAATTTGTCTTCTGATTTCATGTAGATGCAAAATGCATTCTCTCATCTAGCAGGAGTTAAATGGCTCTCTGTGTTACCCTTTATTAATTTATAACATATCATTTAAGCATCCTTTGAACCAGAAGGATATTATTGATTGAATTTTACATCTGTTGAAAGTTCTGTCCAATAAGACACTAATCTGGACACATAATAAAGTATTTCTGTTATTTTGGGAAAGTAGCCCCAATAAAAATTTCAGATGTGCTACACGTGAAACACAGAATAAAGAAAATATGTATGTATTACTAAAATTCATCAGAGCAGAGTAGTTTTGTGGTTAGGGAGAAAAAATTCAGAGCAAACAAAAGAAAGCTGCTTATCTAATGAATATACTGCCTGGATCTTTCATTCCTAAAAATTTGCCCTGACTAAGTCTAGCCAATTCTCTGCAGCCCCTGAACAGGTTTGAAGTTTTTATTACATTTGTCTTCATATTTTATAGCTTCCTTATAATATTAACTTGGTTTTGAAGCTTAAAACCTCACTCACCTTGGTTTCAATTCATGCTCTCTCCCGTTAATTCAGGATCAGTGCCCCCAAGAAGCTTAATGAAGGAGTTTTCAGGACTGTGAAACTCATTTCAGGCTGTGACCTAGTTCTTTGGTTTTTATGTTTTCCTTTGATACATGATTAGAAATAACACCCAGGGAGGCACTTATTAAGAACAAAACCCAATTGAGTAAAATTTAAAACGTCATTGGCTTCCTTCAGTGATTCATGCAATGGGTATCATCCCAGCTAGCAAGAAGAAAAGTACTCCAGGAACTGTACAAAAATGAAAGACTTTTATAAGCAGAAGAGAGCAGAAAGAAGGAAGTCATCCCTGCAGAGAGTGTATTAGCTCTATTGAGGTCACATTTCTTTAGAGAAAAGAAGGGCTCTGTGAGCAGATCGGTTCACTACTGCTGGCCAGAGGATTCTGGATTGACTGGTTTAGGATTCCACTCTGGGAGAGGCAGAAACTGTAATTAAGTATGATCTCCATTTAGTGACATGGGACTTAAGTTACTGCATTCTGGGTTTTGGGGTCTTTTTTTTTTAACTTTTTATTTTGTATTGGAGTATAGCCAATTAACATTGTTGTAATAGTTTCAGTCGGTCAGTTCTGTCGCTCAGTCGTTTCTGATTCTTTGCAATCCCATGGGTAGCAGCACGCCAGGCTTCCCTGTCCATCACCAACTCCCAGAGCTTGCTCAAACTCATGTCCATCATGTCCGTGATACCATCTAACCATCTCATCCTCCGTCGTCCCCTTCTCCTGCATTCAATCTTTCCCAGCATCGGAGTCATTCTTCAGCATCAGATGGGCAAAGTATTGGAGTTTCAGCTTCAGCATCAGTGAATATTCAGGACCGATTTCCTTTAGTTTAAGGCAGACAGCAAAGAGATTTAGCCATACATACACATTTATCCATTCTCCCCCAAACTCCACTCCCATCCAGGCTGCCACATAACACAGAGCAGTCTTATTTATAACACTCTTTTATTTGGATTTCATTTTTACATACTTGACCAAAAATTTGCCTGTTGTACAAAAGGAAGCAATCAACATGTGTACATATATATACATATATACACACATATATATACATATATACACACATATATATATGCACATATATATATATACACAACATATATACAGCAGCTCTTGCATGTGTAATACTGTGCTAAGAAATACAGAATTAAAACTATGATAAAGTCCTTGCCTTCAGATAGTGAGATATAAAAAGAGAAAACATCTTTTAGAAGTTGGAAATCCTTATGTTTGAATCACAATGAACTATGTGCACAAAACAAGCCATAAATCTGCCTGAGCCTTGCTTATTTATGACATGGAGAAAACTTTGGGGACCATTATAATAATTAAACAACAAATAAATGAAAAATTGAAGCAAAACTGTCTCATTACTGACATTTAATAAATCTCATTTTCCGCCTATTAAAAAAAAAAACTTAACATCTAGCTGAGAAGGTAAAAATATAGCAGACAGCAGTAAATTACTTAGGGCTTCCCTGGTGGCTCAATGATAAAGAATCTGCCCGCCAATGCAGAAGACTTGGGTTCGATCCCTGGGTTGGGAAGATCCCCTGGAGAAGGAAATGGCAACCCACTCCAGTATTCTTGCCTGGGAAATCCCATGGACAGGGAAACTTGGCAGGCTAAGTCTTAAAGAGTTGGACACAGCTAAGTGACTAAACAACAACAATAACAAGTCACTTAACGTGAAAGGGTATAATTCATAGGATCCCTCATTGGAGGCATACCTATGGAATGGAATAGTCAGGAAGAGTTCAGTGAAATGTTTCAAGGGATCTTTGCAAAGGAGGCAGTTGAGAAGAAGAGGAGGAGCACAGAGAAGGTCCTGAGCTCTTAGCGTGCAGGTGACAATGCACGGCCTGGTGGCCCTAGACGGGTTAAGTGTGCGTCAGCATTCCACGGCATTGATACAGAGGCCACATAGAGCATCAATGGAGGCACCACTGTTGGATAATACCTTCCACTGGTCAATCAAAGCCCTGTTTCTTCTTTTCAAGGAGGAGCTACCTCATCCTTATGATGCCTGGATCTCTATTGCTAGAAATCTGCCTGAGCTGATCAAGAACAACCAACTACGTATGGAAGTTGAGAAGGTTTGGAAAAAATATTACACGTTTTCTATTTCAGCTTCTTAAAAGCATTAACTTGGTTTTGTGGCCGTCACATCACGCATTTTGAGTTGACTCCATCTTTCCATTTGTTCTCAGTTAGCAATGCTCAGCATTGATGGCCTCCGAGGCCACAGGGCACAGCGCCTGGGACACTTGGTTCTGGGATACATCACCATGGCGTACGTGTGGGGTCAAGGCGATGGAGACATCCGAAAGGTTTGGATATTTTCTTATATTCTTTTATGCTAACACAACAGACTGACATCCCATTGACATTTAATGTAAACGAACTCTAAGAGTATTGTCACAGCATTTGTGAAGCTTGAGGATCTTGTGCAGAGGAGTTGCCTAACAAATATTTGGGGAATGGATGGATGCTTGAGCGAATGGTTGCAAATGATTCACAGGCCATTAGAAAGTCAAGAATACAGCCTGGATTTCCCCTGGCTCTCTAGTTAGGCTTTGTTCTCTCTATGCCCAGATTATGTCCACATCATCACAAATCTCAAATGTAAGGGCTTTTACATTTACAAGTACAAGGGAATTTACAAGTACTGGGCTTAAGTTGCAAAATGAGGAAGAGGCAATGACACATTGGTTTGGTTTCACAGGGACCTTATGTAGAACAGTTAATCTTTTGACTCCCAGAAGTGAAGGTGAGACATTTCAAAGGTTAATACTAAAAGTCGTGTTTTCGTTAGGTCTTGCCAAGCAATATCGCAGTTCCTTACTGCAAGCTGTCTGAGAAGCTGGGACTGCCTCCTATTCTGCTTTACGCAGATTGTGTCTTAGCAAACTGGAAGAAAAAGGACCCCAGTGGGTATGTAAACAGTGATTATAAATGGAATTAAAGGTGTGCACAGTATTTTAATCAAAAGGGAACTGGTCATTTGTTTAATCTTTGGCAGCATGGCTTTCTTCTCTGTTGTTAAGATGTAAAAGATACATGCGTGTGAGAGAGAGAGGCGTCTTGTCAACATACAATGAAATGTACATATCTTAAGTGTTCAGTTTGATCAGTTTGACTGGCTTCTTTTGATACTGGCTTCTTCTGACATTCTGCAAGTTTCGATTTTAACTATTGAGTGGAATCAACACATCTTTGGGGGTAAATGTGGCAACCTCTGGGCTTTCAAAAGAGTCTGCTTAGAATCTTGGCCCTTCCTAAGCACTGAGTAATGCATCTGCTATAATGAAGGGTCAGAGGCTCTGGGTGTGTATTCACCACACGTGTATTCACACTCAGAGGCATGTTCTAGATGTGGGAGTACCGCAAAATGAAATAATTTGATCTTAAAAATTTCTTATTAGTAACAAGGTTTCCGATTGGTTTTGACAATCCACATGTGCTCCTTGCATATTTAATTGTTTCTTTCACTTGTAAAGTCCTAAATTAAATGTTTGTGACACCTACTTGACAAATATTGAAAAAAACACACCTTTACATTTTTATGTAATTTTTTTACCTTTGCTAGATCAGTAGTATTAAATGAAATAACTCAAAACCATTTAATTTTTACGTTGGTTTCCTTTCCATCTTCCAATTGATCCATGGCTTCGTGGCTGTTCTCCTAAGGCCCATGACTTATGAGTAAGTATTCCATCTTTTTTATTTGAAGAATCACTGTTATTTCAAAGTAAATAAGGATGTATCACTACCCTCCAAGTGAATTCTTTTAAAAGACTAACTGATTTTAGGCAAAAAATACAAAAATCTTACTTGTATATGCAGATGATACCTGACTTAAGGGTGGTTCAACTTATGATTTTTTGACCTTAAGATGGTGCAAAAGTGATAAACATTTACTATAAACTCAGTTTGAATTTTGAATTTTGATCTTTCCCTAAGTAGATGTGCAGTACATACTCTCCTGTGATCCTGGGCAGGGCAGTGCAGCTTCCAGGCAGCCTCACTGTCAAGAGGGTAAACAGCTAATACACTTACAACCATCATGCACCCAGACAACCATTCTGTTTTTCGCTTTCAGTATTCAATAAATCATGAGATATTCCACACTTTAGTATAAAATAGACTTCGTGTTAGATGAGTTTGCCCAACTCTAGGCTAATACAAATATTCTAAGCGCATTTACGGTAGGCTAGGCTAAACTCTGGGGCACCCAGCTGGGTCAGTGGTAAAGAATCCGCCTGCCAATACGGGGGACACAGGAGAAGTGGGTTGAGCTCTGGGACAGGAAGATCCTCTGGAGAAGGAAATGGCAATCCACTCCAGTATTTTTGCCTGGAAAACCCCATGGACGGAGGAGCCTGGCGGGCTAGAGTCCTTGGGATCACAATGACTGTGACCCCAAGGTCACAGTGAGACAGACACAACTTGAGTCAGGCACAACTTAGCAGGACCACAAGGCTAATATTTGATAGGCTAATATCTGATATTTGGTAGGTTAGGTATATTGAATGAATTTTCAACTTATCTTCAACGGAAGATGGCTTTATTGAGATATAACACCACTGTAAGTTTAGGAAGATCTGCCGATAAATATAACTAACATGCATACATACAAAATGCACATACATCTGTGTATCCATGACTCCATGACCTCAATGGCCAGAAGTAATAAAACTATTCTTTTTGACCCAATTCTTACTATTTTTGGCCTAGGTACTTAACAGAAGCTAAGAGCTAGGGAATCTAAAGTAAATATAGGAATAAGCGTACCCTCATGAAACTAGGTTAATTTGGAGGAAAGAAGATACATGAAAATTATGTAAAATGCTACAAGATCAAGAGAAGAATTAAGGAATTAAAGGACTATGAGTTCAAGTCAAACAAAAGGCACAAGGAAAGAATCTTACAGCAAGGAATTTAAGCTGGGTTTGGAAGAGTGACTAGGCATAAGTTAGAAGACGGAAAAGCTGGGACTTCCCTGGTGGTCCAGTGGTTAAGATTCTGTACTTACATTGCACAGCGTGTTCCCTATCCCTGGTTGGGGAACTAAGATCCCATGTGTCATGTGGCCAGAAAAAAGTAAAGGAAGAAGAAGGAAAAGCTGAGCATGTTCACAGTGGAGGAAACAGCAAGAATGAGGGCTTTGAAATGACAAAAATCTTGGTGCATTTTCAGAATTGAAGGAAGGCTAGTGTCACTGATACATCATAAATAAGGAAGGTAACAGTATAGGAAGGGGATGAAGAAATAAACTATAGAATTATTACATAGGACTTTGGACTCTGATAAGGGGTTAAAACAGTATCTTAAAGGGGAAGCTATGGAAGGTTTTTAAATGGGAGAATGATGTCACCAGCCCCATTTGAGGCTGAAACCGATGAAATATCTTATTCAATGAGCCCCAGGAAGTTAGGTGTGGAAATGGTTTGAGACCATACATTTAACTGCCATGAAACTCAGAGGTGTACTGATACTGAGACCATATTTGCACCAACACAAAACTTCAGTGCAAAAGAAAATAAGGTGTAATAAATTATTTGAATTTCCCAATCAATTCCTTTGTAAGGCAGAATATATCACTGAGAAATTGAGTCAGGCTCACAGATAAACATATGGATATGAATATGTTTATTTAAGTCAAAAATCTACTTTTGTAAACCATACCTCACAGATATCTTTATAAACCTTGAGTTTACAAATTTGTGAAAAATTGATGGGCTAATAGAAAAAGAAATGCTCTTGAAGCTTCTAGTTTCAAGTTCTAGAATGGAATTTTAAGTTCCAGCTTAAAGTACTGTTAATTTTATGACCTTAGACAACAGGCCTGACATTAATATTCCTAACTACATAATGGATATAGTAAACCTGCATACTTATCTCACGAGATTATTTTGAAAATGGAGGGTAAATAAAAGACTTGAAAATGAATAAGGATCCAACAAATAGATCAATATTGTTATCAAATTATTTTTTCTTCTTTTTAGCTTTCTTTCTTTTATTTTTACTAAATTCTTGACTTCCTGGATTAATTTTCTCAGGAACATGGACATTTTGTTCTCATTTCCTGGTGGGGACTGCGGCAAAGGCTTCTTTCTGGTTTCTCTGTTGGTGGAAATAGCAGCTGCCTCTGCAATCAAAGTATGTCAGTCCAGAAAAATGTGCATTTTGATTCACTTAAGCAGAACAATTACTTAGCAACAGAACATTATTATACATAAAGTAACTTGATCCTGACTGAATAGAGGATTTGATGATTGAATTGGAGATAAGGGATCTCCTGGTACAAATAAATACTTTTTTTTGGTCTCTTCTAAAATATAAAATGTAAGAGCCATATAATTAGAATCAAATTTGAAGCCCTAATAAGAGAGAAATATTTTCAATGCAACTTGACATGGGAACTCTGTCTCACAGTGACAAAAAGCTAATGATTTTTTGCCTTAGAGATAGAAATACATAAAACTATATAAACTTATCTCTAAGTGATAAATTAATAAAGACAAACCCAAGTTTAATTAAACATACGGAAATTAGTCAAACAATCCAAGGGTATTCAATCCAAGAAAGAAATAGAAATACCAAATTTAACTTGGGCATTAAGATTTAGAAGAACTTAATTCTATGCCAATATTTAGTGTTATGAAATCTGAAGTGTTTGTTTTCTTTTTTTTTTAAAAGGTGATCCCCATTATATTTGATGCAGTAAAACGTGAAGACTCAGATACTTTGCAGAAGGCACTGCTTGACGTATCTTCCAGCCTGCACAAAGCCCTGGACGTGTTTTCCCAAATTCATGGCAAGTATTGTGTGCCTTGCAAATGCTAGACCATGCTCAGATGTTTCTGGTTATCTAGATGTAGACTTGCAGAGAAAACAGAAGCAAAACCAACTCTCACATGGTGGTTGTGTTTGCGGTTTCCTTTATCTCACTGAATTACTATATGTACTTTCCATGTGGTGGGTTTTATTATGTTCATCTTACAGAGAAGAGAATCTAAATTTTGAGAGAGAAGATAAATGACCCAAGATGATATAAGTAATAAATAGGGAAGCCAGAATTCCACTAAAAATTGTGGAAAAATTTGCCAAAGGTGCAGGATATGTTAAGTTCTGAAAAACTTAGCTTCTGCTGAATAAGAACTCTCTATGAATTCTGCTTTTACATAAATTAACTAGAAAGCCATCTAAAACAGCCACAGGGCTCAAAAGTTATCATGAAATTAACAGCTAAAAACAGTAACAAAAAGTGTACATAAACAAGGATTTGCAAAGGGAAATGTCCCCTACTGGATGCGCCTAACAAGTATGTGATTGTGTATCAGTGGGCTTTGGCAAGAAGATTGGCCTTCAAACCAAAGACACTAGCAGGCTTTGGGGAGGGACACCCGGAGATGTGGTCCCTAGGGCTCCTGGAGGTTTTGTTTTATTTTTGTTTTTTGAGTTTAGATTTGGGGTTTCTTTATGTGAGTAATTTATCAGTTATGCCAGTAAAAACGTGTTGCTGTTGTTTAGTCTCTAAGTTGTGTCTGACTCTTTTACCATCCCATGGACTATAGCCCACCAGGCTTCTCTGTCCATGGGATTCTCCAGGCAACACAACCTACCAGGGTAGGTTGCCATTCCCTTCTCCAGGGAATCTTCTCGACCCAGGGATCCAACTCACATCCCCATCACTGGCAGGCGGATTCTTTACTGCTGAGCCACAAGGGAAGCCCAGTAAACATATGAAGCATCCTTAAGTAAATGTTGGCAGTTTAATTGGTCTCCTGAGGATGAGTGGTGAATGGGCCAGGGCTCTTTGTCACAAGATGTGCATTGTTCCCATAGTAGACTCCGTTTAGTGTACACAGGTGTGATAGAGGTCAGGAGAGTGAAAGTTTGACCTCAGGGATGTTTCTGCACAGACTGACCTACCACCTTTCTTGTTTCCTATACTGAAATCCAGGATCAGTGTTTATAACACCTTGATTTTTCCCAATGATGCTACTTAATTAGGTGTACCTCATCTTTTTTGTTTGTTTGTTTTTAGAATATGTGGACCCAAACCTGTTTTTCAATGTTCTTCGAATATACTTGTCTGGGTATGTAGCCTTATGCTTGGTTCTGTTTTCACTTAGACAATTAACAAAAAGAAGACAACAAATTTCCCTGATGGTCCCCACTATCAATCCAGTTTAAGAAACAATTTATATCCTAAAATACATGTTGCAAGAAACAGTAGGCTATTCTCTCGGTTACTACTTGGGCAGGCAAATACTGGAGTAGGGATAAGAAAGCTACTCATTTTAGAGAGTGAAATAACCTTTGGTAGTGCAAGGTAAAATTTGACTTATAAAATCCTTATGCTCAGAACCATGTTAATTATTATTCTTATGCTTGAACATGAGTAGAAGGGGGAGTATGGAAGAAGTATAATGAAGCCTAGCTCATTTCACCTTCCACTCATCCTCTGTTGCAAGATTTGACGTATGAAAAATTGGCAATTGTTAAAATACCGATTATTCTTTCCTTCCTGATTTAGTTGGAAATGCAACCCCTTGCTGTCAGAAGGTCTGCTGTATGAAGGCGTCTGGGACACCCCAAAGAAGTTTGCTGGAGGCAGTGCAGCCCAAAGCAGCATCTTCCAGTGCTTTGATGTTCTCCTGGGCATTCAGCACACTGTTGGTGGAGGTGAGCAGCAAATGACAAATCACCAGCATTGCTTAGGCTAATAGGATAGTGTCTAAAAAGTACCTTCCCATCAGCATCTTATCTGAGCTTATCAGATACTTTTAGAAGAATCAGTGGAGACTTTACTGTAATCTCATTACACCATGAAGAAGCAGAAACTGAAAGAGGCTCATAAACAGACTCCCTGTTAACCAACTAAAAAGCAGGGAAGCCAGAACTCAGACCAAGTTCAACACCATCTTGATCTTGATATTTGAACATGTCTATGAGATCTGATTGAGTGGTGAAGCCAGTATTGCATGTCCTGAACATGTAAGGTCAGATTTAGAAAGAAAAAGCCTAAACTGAGGTAAGACCACAAGCAGAAGCTAGAGAGTGGGGAGGCTTGGCACTGTTCTAGTTCCCCAACCTACTGCCCAGGGAGCCCAGGGCCAACACGTGCACCAAAGTTTAAAGATGAGCCAGGTTCATTACATTCTTTCTAGGGGATTAAGGGAGCAGAGGAAGAAGCTCCAGGAAGAACTTCTTTCTGCTTTTCTTTCTTTCGTAAACTGCTATTGAACAGTCAAAGGGGAAGGCTTTGGGGTGCATGACAGTAAGGTGTTGTTTTTTTTTTTTTTTCCCGAGCTCATCCTCTTATTTTAAAATGGTCCCTTTAACTCTCTTGGACTCAGCATCACAGTCTATCAAGTATAGTACATCTACCCTGTCCTTAGAAGGAGCAAATACAGTAGGAACATGAGAAAGGAAGCAAAACAACAATATAATGAATGAGTTTAGCTCATGTGGTTTTCAGAATTAAGTGCATTTTGCAGTAATTACCATTACTAGTAGCAAGATTAGTAGGATGCTAACTTGATGGTTATAAATTCATGGCCACCCACTCTGACCCCACTCGGCCCTCCCTCCCTGGATTGGAGACTGCTTCAGACTCCTTATTAACTCATCTCTGTCTTCAGTTCCTTCAGACCCTGCTGCTGAATTTCTCCAGGAGATGAGAACCTATATGCCACCAGCTCACCAGAGCTTTCTCCTCTCATTAAAGTCAAGACCCTCGGTCCGTGAGTTTGTTCTTTCAAAAGGCAATGCTATGCTGCAGGAAACTTACGATGAGTGTGTGCAAGCTATGGTCTCCTTGAGAAACTACCATTTGAAAATAGTAGTTAAATACATCTTAATTCCTGCAAGCCGGCAATCCAAGGCAGAAAGCTCAATAGAAGATTTAGAGGCAGAGAGTAGAGGAACTGGAGGCACCAATCTCATGGACTTTCTGAAGACTGTAAGAGGTAAAACTGTGAATTGCCTGTTGAAGGAACATTAATTGTAATCCAAGAAAGTATTTTTTTGGCATATTTTGTATATTTTGACATGTGTTAATCATCTCTGCCCATTATATCAGATAGCATTCACATTCTTCATTTGAGAGGAAAATGAAACTTATGTTCATACAAAAACCTGCACAGGGATGTTTATTGCAGCTTTATCATAATCACCCAAACTTGAAAACATCCAAGATTCCCTTCAGTGGCTCAATGGATGAACAAATCGAAGTACATCCTGACAATAGAATATTACTCAGGGCTGAAAAGAAATGAGTGCTGTGTGACAACCTAGAGGGGTGGGATGGGATGGGAGGAAGACTCGAGAGGCAGGGACATATATATACCTATGCCTGATTCATGATGATTTATTACAGAAACTTACACAATATTGTAAACCAATCATCCTCCAATTAAAAATAAAATTTTAAATTTTTAGAAAAAAGAAGTGATTGTGGTGTATTTCTTCCTGGTTCAGTAAAAAATGTTGAAAATGAACTTATTTACAAAACACAAACAGACTCATAGAGTTTGAAAGCAAATTCTGGTTACCCAAGTGGAAAGGTGGTGTGTGGTGGGTGGGGGTGTTGTTGGTGGTGGTAAATTAAGAGCTTGGGATTAACATATAGACACTGCTGCTGCGGCTGCTGCTAAGTCGCTTCAGTCCTGTCTGACTCTGCGACCCCATAGACGGCAGCCCACCAAGCTCCCCCGTCCCCGGGATTCTCCAGGCAAGAACGCTGGAATGGGTTGCCATTTCCTTCTCCAATGCATAATGTGAAAAGTGAAAGTGAAGTCGCTCAGTCGTGTCCAACTCTTAGCAACCCCATGGACTGCAGCCTACCAGGTTCCTCTGTCCACGGGATTTTCCAGGCAAGAGTGCTAGAGTGGGTTGCCATTGCCTTCTCCCAACATATACACGCTATGATATATAAAATAGAAAATCAACATCAAACTATTGTAGAGCACAGGGAAATCTACTCAATATTCTGTAATAACCTATTTGGGAAAAGAATATGAAAAAGAATAAGTATTATGTATAAGTGAATCATTTTTCTATACACCTAAAACTAACACAACATTGTAAATCAACCATACCCCAATATAAAATTAAAAATATTTTTTAAAAGGTTAAGCAAAAAAAAGAAATGGGTGATCAAGTGATGAAGAGACATGGAGAAATGTAACAATGCACCTGACTAAGTAATAGAGGTCACTCTGAAAAGGTTGCGGAGTGTGAGATTCCCGCTATATGACATTCTGGAAAAAGGTAAAACCATGGAAGCAGGAAAAGGATCAGGAACTGCCAGGGGGTTGGGACAGAGGAAGTGATGAACAGGAGGAACACAGAGGATGTTTAGTTCAGTGAAACTACTCGGTATGATGGAATAACAGTAGATACACGCCAAGCATTTCCCAAAACCTGTATGGCATATAACACCAGGAGTGAACCCTAATGTAAGCTATGGACTTTGGATAATCATAATCTATCGATGTAGGTTTATCAGCTGTAACAAGTGCACCATTCTGATGTGCAAAACTCAGCACACCTGGGGAAGAAGATATATGGGGACTCTGTACTTTCTGCTTAATTTTGCTTTGGGCCTAAATCAACTCTAAAAAATTAAAGTCTATTAAAAATAAAACCACTCTATGGCCTTCAATAATTCACTTAACCTCTCTGGTCTGCTTTTGCACACCTAAAATAATCAGAGATGAATAGATTAAGGTGCTTTCCAATTCTATGATTCACTCCTCTATGTGATCTGAAAGTTCATCCAGATGTTATGTTAAGCTACGGAAGCTATGGAAATTTTAAACAACACATGCTCAAAAGTAGAACAGCATCTCTATTTCTTCCAGATAATAAAGACAATGATTTTGATGTAAGAATCATTTTATATATTTATAATTTTTAAAAGCTTACAACAGGCTTTCCCTCAGTATCTTTGTTTCCTGACAATATCAGTAAGTCAGACTAGGAATTATTTTTCTATTTTGTGGTGGTGGTTTTTTATTTTTTTTTTCCATTTATTTTTATTAGTTGGAGGCTAATTACTTTACAACATTGCAGTGGTTTTTGTCATGCATTGAAATGAATTAGCCATGGGTGGTGGTGGTTTTTTAAAGTGTTGGAGGCAGAGTGAATGAGAATGATTGTACTTAAAACGGTCAAGGTGACTCATCAATCAGATCACAGATGACTCATTTCAAGAGGATTGTCAGAGTAAACTGTGCTTTCTGTATGTAGCCCACTCTGTCTGTCTACAAATGCTCTAACCTGCTGATTCTTGATGCGGATGTTGGGGGACGGGGGCGGAGTCAGTCTTTGGACAGGAGTCTGTCCTCCTCTCCCCACACCCAGTTGCTAGCATCCAAAATAAAGCAAACTTTGCTTTCCACCAAAAAAAAAAAAAAGGTTGTGGTAAGAATAGATTTTCCTAGATAAGGCAATTCATGAGATGAGTTTTAAAAGGTGATTAGTATACTATATGCAAATAAAAGGCTAGAAAAATGCAGGAAGAGAAAGAAGAGTGTTTAAGAATAGCAGCATAGCAAGGCCTACTTAAGAAGCCCACACAGCTCAATATGACTGAAGCATAAAAGAAGAAAAATGATGATGGGTTGATTAAGCTAAATCATGATTGGCTTCCAGGGCCATGCAATAAAGGAATTTCAATTTATTGTGAAAACAAAAAGAATGCTTTTAAGCAGAGAAATGACTTTATTATATTTGTATATTTGAATTCTATTTAAGTAAAGCATTGCCCACTGTAAAGGAAAGTGAAAGTCACTCAGTCGTGTCTGACTTATTGCAACCTCATGGACTATATAGGCCATGGAATTCTCCAGGCCCGAATACTGGAGTGGATAGCCTTTCCCTTCCCCAGGATATCTTCCCAACTCAGGGATCAAACCCAGGTCTCCTGAATTGCAGGCAGATTATTTACCACCTGAGCCACAAGGGAAACCCATTGTAAAGAAATAAGTATTTAAATGACTTTGGTAGTAGTTGAGGAAAAAATTGTAAGGGTGGAATACAATGGGGTGTGATCATAAAGGCAGGGTGATGAGGTTGGAGCTTATAAAAGTCATCCAAGGCTGCAATGATGGGAAAGTATTATGGGCTTAGATTTGGGGAAAATATCAGTTTAAGGATTAGAATATATAATATTTCAGTAGTAAATGGCTATTGAAAGTGATGGCAGTGGGATTGGAGATAAGGGAAACATAAGAAATATTACGGCAGTAGAAGGGGCAAGACCAGAGTTCTGTTGGATGAGATGGAGAGATGACTTTCAGGTCTCCAACTGGTCAGCTAGAGCTAGCCTCATGGACCTTCAACCCATGTTGTCAGATAGGGTCTTGTCTGCAGAAGCATTCACTCTTAACTTCATGCTAAACTGTTACTCTTTTGAAATTCTGAATAATTTTGAACAAGGGTCCTTATGTTTTTGTTCTTCTCTGGGCCCCACAAATTATACCACCAGTTCTTAAAGATACCATTCACCAAGACATGGAATATAGGAGGGAAAGATGAGCCTGGTTCTTATCATCAGAGTATAAGTAATAAGTAAGCCTTGAATTTATCTCTTGGCAGTAGACTCTCTGTTCAAGACCTTGAACCTTGATGCAGGTTTTCTAAGTATTTGCTCGGGTCTTCATAAAAAGTATACAGTAAGTGTTGGATGTGTTAAGGTGTTTCTTAGGAAGCTTCTACAGCAGTCCAGTAAAGATGTCTAGTAGATGACAGGAGAGATCCAACTAGAAATGAAATGTTGGGAGTTCTCAGCTGGAGATGATGGTTGAAGTCTGAAGACAGATGACCACCCAAGAAAGGGAAATCAGGACCTGAGCTAGGGAGATCACCAGTGGTAAACTGTAACTAGAACAACAGAGAGAAAAACCCAAAAAACCTTCATGGTTAGCAGCAGCGATTTTGGCTCCAGATGGCTCCAGCCCTGACACTAACACTTACAAAGAAGTATGACCTCAGGCTCCTACTTAACTTTCCCATGCTGTGGTTTCCTCAACTGAATGATGGGAATAATATTGGCTCACTTACAGGGCTGTTTGGGAGGGTTAAATCAGAAACTCTAGGGAAGATGCTTACCTAAGGACTTAGAACAGACAAAAACAATCCGTGAGTGTTAAGTCAGGTTTTTTTCTTTTTAGTTTTAAATACAGTCCAACCAGAAGGAATACGTTTCATTCAGTTCAGTTCAGTTGCACAGTCATGTCCAGCTCTTTGCAACCCTGTGGAGTCCCGCATGCCAGGCTACCCTGTCCATCACCAACTCCCGGAGCCTACTCAAACTCATGTCCATTGCATCAGTGATGCCATCCAACCATCTCATTCTCTGTCATCCCCTGCCTTCAATCTTTCCCAGCATCAGGGTCTTTTCCAATGAATCAGTTCTTCGTATCAGGTGACCAAAGTATTGGAGTTTCAGCTTCACCATCAGTCCTTCCAATGGATATTCAGGACTGATTTCCTTTAGGATAGACTGGTTTGATCTCCCTGCAGTTCAAGGGACTCTCAAGGGTCTTCTCTTAACACCACAGTTCAAAAGTATTAATTCTTCAGTGCTCAGCTTTCTTTATAGTCCAACTCTCACATCCATATATGACTACTGGAAAAACCATAACTTTGACTAGATGGAACTTTGTTGGTAAAGTAATGCCTCTGCTTTTTAATATGCTACCTAGGTTGGTCATAGCTTTTTTCCCAAGGAGCAAGCATTTCATAGGAAAGGTCAAAAGGAGAAAAAAGTTTTAAAAAATTAGTAAAGCAAAATGCCAGATGCTTGAACTATTGATCAGAAAGGACTAGGAAGTTCCATTGAACTTATGAACAAAGGAGTAATTAATGAGCTGTACAGAATAACCTTGGTGTACTGCTGTTTGGGCTGATTGAGTTTGATAACTCAGGTTTTGGACTTAATCAACTTGAAACTAAAACTAAGTATAACTGAAATTGTACCTGAAAACATGTAAATGA